CTAAAGTTTAATCTTATCAAGTTCACAATTTTAATAAAACATATTTAAAGTTGGTGTTGACAAATCATAGCAAAGTTTCAAAGAAAAAATGTGTGATGTTTAGTGAATGTTAAATTTTGAACTCACAATTTTAAAAATGTAGTAATAAATTGAATGTTAAGTTGAATGGATCAAGTTTAAATTTTTATCCAAAAAGATAAATTTGAAAAAATTGTTGGAATGCAAAGAATTGTTGAGATTGTATGCTAAGATTTTTTACAAAGCACTCAAGGTGCTTGACAAAATGACTGAGAGAAAAAAAACACCAAAATGAGTACTTGTGCTCCTGATTTGATATAAAGAATGCAGTAAATGGACATAGAATTGTGAAAATGGATGAAGTCTAGGAGAAGATGGTGTTTAGGGAGTTAAAAGATTGATTCCCAGTTTGCCAAATTGATTGCAGGACAACCATAACTCCTAATACTCGAGCTCAAGCACCCTCCCCTGCTGCTTTTCAGGTACAAAATGTTATGGCTGCCTTCTAGACTTAAATTCTAAACCACATTCATAGTTACTTGTTAATTTATTAGTTTGATTCAGTTCAATCCTGTATTCGATGTGTTTGGTATACGAGGAAAATTTGATAGATATGGAGCACATTAAGGACCATAGTGTAGAACTTACACTGCTGGATAAAGATCCTCCTTTAGTTCCATGTTCTTGCTTAGATTAGCTGATGGGATTGAAGTATTCAACCCTGAATCATCTTCTGTAAATGTCATTTCCTTCTCTTTCGTTTCTATTCGTGTCAATAGGAATGAATATGACTACTTGGCTAGTCGCATAGAAGACCGAGAAATCAATAAAAGACAAAAGAATGTGCTAAGATTTGAACTTGGGCTCTTTGGTGAGTAAGAAAAACGAATATGAAACAAACCCGAATTCTCAATACAGATACATAAACCTTATATCCATTGATAACCAAATTATAATAACAACACTTGAATTACAAAGAGAAGTACTGAAATAACAAGTAACTAAAGATAGAGATAAGAATGAGGATGAGAAGTTAAGACTCTAGAAAGAAGATGAGAGGAAAAGACAGTTTCTTCATAATACGCATAACCTTTCTGTCTAACCCCTATTCCTATTTAACCAATTGATAATTGGGCCTGAATCCCAAATAAAACTCTCTAATATTTTACGCGGCCCAATTATCCCATCCAAATCAGCCTCATTCGCTACTTCTAACACATAAGCCCGTACAAAGTCGACTTGATTCACAATAGAATATATCAAGTTGGACCTCGTAGAGAAATGAAACTAGGAGTAACTGTTACTAGATATTACAGTATACGTATATTTTAGATCCATGAAGTTAATGTTAAGGAGAACAGAGGAATGCCTCATTTCTCACATATTTGATTCACAGGGATATTGGCCTAACTAGTGGTCGGCAATGTTGTTGTAGTTTGTTATCCTGCTAAAAAACTCTTTAAAATTTTAGTAAAGGAAAAATACAAGTAAAATTATGTGTTTCACGGATAACTAATATTACACATATATTAGTCCTCACTCAACCGGACGCCACCCTACAACAAAGAGAGAAACAGAGAGAGAGAGAGAGAGAGAGAAAGATGGTTGTTGAAGTATAAGCTATGGTTTTGGTGGAACATAGACAAAATGAAGAAAGTAAAATATAAAGAAAAATACATTAGTGTCCTCTAAATATGATTGAATTACCAATTTTTCATAACTGACTTCATCAAAGCCACACTTTCATGCAATAAATGCTTAGTTCGATGACCATTGATGAAATTAATCTAGATGGGAAACTTATCGAGTAATGTGAGTGATAAAAGAATCCATCTCCTCACGGTTAACACCCCCATCCACCACTGATTGTTTGACAACATTACTTAATTCTGATGCTCTCTTCCTCATTTCATCTCCCTTAGGTGAAGCCATCAAAGTTCTTACAGCATTTTCAACTATTTCTGATGTAACCAATTCATCTCGACATGCCCAATGCCTCACAATTAGGCCGATTTTTAGGAACTTAGTTACTAACTGAGAATTCCTTGGTTGATCTGAATGCATTGGCCAAGCTGCTATAGGAACTCCCATAGAAATGCTTTCCATGCACGAATTCCATCCGCAATGACTCATAAAACCACCTGTGGAAGGATGTGCCAAAATTTCCAACTGAGGCGCCCAATCTCTTACAATAATTCCTCTTCCTTTTAGCCTCTCTTCATAACCATCAGGCAATTGAGCTCTCCTTTCTTCACCTGCAAACACATCTCCTTTGTCAGCATCTCTGAGGACCCAAATGAACTTTTGCATACTTTTCTCTAATCCAACAGCGAGTTCTTCGATATCTTCATTCGACAAGGAAGTAGTTGTTCCAAAAGACACATATATTACCGACTTTGTTACTTGTTTGTCAAGCCAATACAGGGTTTGATGGTGTTTATTTGAGTTTTTGTTCTGCTCAGACAACAACGGATTGAATGGACCAAGAGCCCATTGGTTTAGTCCATCATTTTCTTTGGCTACTAAATCAAGGTATAAACCTTCTGTTACTCTAGATGAATTGTAAAGTTCTCCGGAGCTAACTTTCCTCATTAGGGCTTCTTGTTTCCTCCATAATTCCCATAACTCTGGGGTAGCACAGTTTTTGTTTGATGAAATGCCCTCAAATATTTCAGTTCCAGCTTGTAAAGGTTTTCCTCTGGATTCCCAGATGCATGAAAACGTATGGAAAGCTGAGATACTATTAAAACAGTAGCACTCAGCATTTGGAATTGCTGGCACATCCTCTACTACCCAACTCATCATAGAATCATAAATAACAATCACTCTCCGATGATTGGCGCCTAAAGTTGGCTTACAAGAGAGCACACTGGCTCACGGAGATGGATTGTTGCATAAAATGAAGGGATTAATTGGTTAGGAAATTTATTTGAAGCATTAGGATTTGGAGGGGGATTTTTCAAAAGGTGGTGTAGGGAATTCATGAAAATATAGGTTTTTAGCTGTGACAGGATCGAAACCATGGACACGACACTTAGCCTGGCGAATATGAGTGGTTGCTCCAACATAATGGACTGGGATATTATATGAGGTGATGAGCCTCGAGAGGTGGAGAAGCTGGTTGAGATGGCCTTGTGCTGAAAGTGGCACCATAACCACTGCCACTTGTGCATCGTGAACACCCTTTTTTCCATCGCTTTTTATGGGGTAGTTCTCGGCCATTGGGAAATGCTTAGAAATTTTGTAGTTTGATGAGTGTCTGCCGTTTCTGAAGTGCCTTGAGTTATATGTAGGAGAAAAACATAGATGATCTTATAAGGATTATGTCTAATGCATGAATCCAACAACTAGAATTATCTGGCCAGCTGCTAGAAAGCTTAATTGTTAAAACGATATTGAAATTTTTTAACTTCTCTTATTTGACATATTGCTGCAAAATATATTACTTAAAGTAGTCACAATCAAATCCTTTGTTGTCTATCAGTAAAACCAACAGCAACTGGTTGAGTTTTATATAAAATGGAGGAAAAAACATCAGCAAAGGCAGACCATAAAAATATTATTTGAAGAAAAAAAAAGTATACACCCATGTAAGTATTAGAGATACTGAGATAGTTGTCATTGTAATCTCAGTCGAATTTACATCCTCATTATCATAATTGTAAAAATCAAATATATGTTTATTTCAAGTGCAAGAATCAAAGAAATATCAATATTAGTTTTGTGGTTCTTATAAACACTGCTATCTTCAGATTCTTTTATCGTTGGACAATATAGTAGGAGTATTACATAATGGAGCAAACTTTAGTCAAGGAGCAGTCATAATAGACTGCATTATGTAGTATTTTCCTGTAATTTAGCTTGTTTTTAGAGGGTAAGACACAAAAGATTAAAAAATGCTTAGCAATCTTAGTTGGTCAAGGAGTCGAAGACCTTCCTCAGTCACCCACTAATTTGACCACTTAATAAATCTGAAATAAGTATCTTCAGATAAAAATAGATACAAGCAGAGCTACCTTGTGTCAAACTCTTCTGATTTTTTGACAGCTTCATGGATCATTTTAACTATTTAATTTGTCATCGTAAGATTTGAAAAAGTGATGTGAAAGGTTAAAAGTTAGTATAGTTACAAAGTGATCATATTTTAGTTGAACAACTTCATAGAATACCAGAGCTCTTCCTTATTTGTCTTGATGCAAAAAAGAGTATTCTATAAATGTTGAGAAAATAATGTCAAGTACACTTAAAAAGATTGTCTACTCCTACCAACATGAGAAGTCTGGCAGAATATCAAATACAAGGTCACAGAATTAAAGACAAGAATCTATAAAAGTCCTAAAAGAATATACTACTATGTTATTCAGGTCACAAGCAAAAAGTTCTTGTAAGAATACTCAAACAGTATCCAATATTTTATTTATCTGGGAGGACATCCACTTTTATATTAGAAAATACAAAGAACTCATAAAGGAAAGGTTTTTATCCTCAACATACATGCCGTGATGTGCATAAAGGGGTGCCGGTAGGGTGGATACTGAACCCACTCCGATGGTGATAGAGCATCGATACAGTGTCATAGGTTGCATCACTTATGTTAACTAGATGGTAGTGTGCAACCAATTGTTCAATACAAATGAGAAGTTATCGAGTGATGCGTGTGATAAAAGAATCCATCTCTGTACCATTACCTTCCCCATCCATGACTGATTGTTTGACAGCAACACTTAATTCTGATGCTCTCTTCCTCATCTCACCTCCCTCAGGTGAAGCCATCAAAGTTCTCACAGCATTTTCAACTATTTCTGATGTAACCAATTCATCCTGACGTGCCCCATGTCTCAAATTTAGGCCAATTTTCAGGACCTTTGTTACCAGCTGAGAATTCCTTGGTTGATCTGAATGCATTGGCCAGGCTGCTATAGGAACTCCCATGGAAATGCTTTACATGCATGAATTCCATCCGCAATGACTCATAAAACCACCTGTGGAAGGATGTGCCAAAATTTCCAACTGAGGTGCCCAATCTCTTTCAATAATTCCTCTTCCTTTTATTCTTTCTTCATAACCTTCTGGCAGCTGAGCTCTCCTTTCTTCACCTGCAAAAACATCTCCTTTGTCAGCATCTCTGAGAACCCAAATGAACTTTTGCATGCTTTTCTCTAACCCGATGGCGAGCTCTTCGATTTCTTTATTAGACAAGGTAGTAGTTGATCCAAAAGACACATAGATTACCGAATTTGTTTCTTGTTTGTCAAGCCAATACCAAGGTTTGATGTTGTTTGTTTGAGTCTTTGTTCTGCTCAGACAACAACGGATTGAATGGACCAATAGCCCATAGGTTTAAGCCATTAATTTCTTTAGCTACTAAATCAAGGTATAAACCTTCTATTACTCTGGATGAATTGAAAAGTTCTCCAGAGCTAATTTTCCCTTCAAGGGATTTTTGTTTACTCCATAATTCCCAA